CTGAGGGCCCAGGAGGCAGGAGGGACCTGCTCAAAGGTGCTGGGAGGTACAGAGGAAGAGGAAACTCAAGCCTGGCCCAGCGCGCTGGCCCCGGTCCCTCTTGGCCTCGCTGGCACGCGTGCCAAACACCGCTGGCCTGGACGCTCTGACGCAGAGGACAAGGGTAGGGGGTGGAGGCGCCCACCGATGCTGCTGGCTGTAGCCCTGGGCCCTTGCTTGCAGTCGCTGCTGCCAAACTAGTCTGCCCAGGTGGGACGAGCCTCAAAAGCCCCACCCAACCCCTCGAGCAGCCTCCGGGGCAGTGGCTGACCTGACCTGTGAGCGCAGTCCAGTCAGCCCCGGTGTGCAGGCCACCTCACCTGTGTAGCCCGGCTCACAGGCACACTCGTAAGCCGTCGATCTTGGTCCAGACAGGTGCCCCCGCCCGTCTCAGGCGGCTGCTGCGCACAGTCGTCCAGGTTGATCTGCGCAAGTTGTGGTCCTGAAGGGCGTGGCCCAGTGGCCCGGTCAGTTCCTGGCCCACCCTACCCACTGGCCACCCGCCTGCCACACGCACTTGGGCCGGGCCCACCGCTGTGGTCCCCTTCAGACAGAAGCACGAGAGTAGGCCTTGTCGCGGGTCCTGGAGGCTTGCCCCGTGGCGGCAGGGCTGGCTGGGCACTCGTTGATCGTTGGTCTCGCCGCCCAGTGGTTTGGCCCGGTGGTAACCCGGCGGCAGAGGCAGGTGAGTGCGACGCCGTCCTTGCAGGAGCGATCAGTGGCCAGTCGTCGGCGCGTCGCACTCTCAATGTCCAGCGCTGCAGTGCTCCCCGTGTACCCTGGACCGCGGGGAGGGGCGTGTGTTTTTGTGGAAGAAATCAGGACGGCTGCTCCCCAGGACCCCATGACCAGCCTGGGGGTTCGCCCGGGTGGCCCACCTGAGGAGGGCTCCGCGCGGCGTGTCTTTTTGTCGAGGGGCGTTCCCACCCACCCAGGTTGCGGCTGAGCTGTGCTCTTGGTTCTGGACCAGGTGCCCAGACAAGATGTCTAAGGACCTTGTCACCTTCAGCCTGGCCCTGCAGTGCCTTCCTCCCGCCTGTACGCCCTGCCCTTCCCTGCTGATGGGGCCGGCGCCGCACCTCTGTGCACACGCAGGTGTAAGTGTTGGGTCCATCCACGTCAACTTGGGCACCATTCGTTTGCAGGGGGTGCTGGCGACACTCATCACACGTGCATACAGGCAGAGGTGCCGGCGAGTTGAGCCTAGGGGTCCGGGGAGGGGGAGGGAGTCACGTGCAAACAGCATGTATGGGCCTTCGAGGACCCGCCGGCCAGACCGCAGTGAGCGTCCAGCTGGGTTCCCCGGGGCCCACTCAGCCTGGGCTTCGCCAACCCCAGGCCTCCTGCCTCCTCGCCACCCAACTCCCTGATCAAAGCCCTCCACCGCACCGCACGCCCTCGCTCCCACAGAACGGCGCCTTTCCCATCCGACTGGGTTGCTAGGCTACAGTGGAGGCCGGGTCGGAGAATGGGCATCCTCGCTCCGGAGTCTGGGACGGCTAATCTGTCTCGGGAGCCTGGGCTCGGCCGGCAACACCCCCTGGGTTGCTGCGCCCCGGCCCTGGGCTCCTGGACAGAGGAAACACCCTTTCACCCAGCCCTACGAGTTCCTCCCAGTCCGCCGGGCGGCCAATCATCTTCCACTGCAGGTCAACCTGCCCACGGGGTTCTCTGCGTACCCTGGCCTCGGGCTGCGTGCCGCTGGGCACGGGGACATGGCAAGACGGGGCGGCTGGCCCTCCCTCCTAGCTCGGAGCCTCCAGACAGCCAATGGAGGCTGCCGCTCCTGTCTGGGCACCATGGCCTCCTGGTACACCTTTCTCCAGGCAGGCGCGGCTACACCCGATCAAGGAGGGACTCCATGGCCTGGGCTCCACCGTGACCCCTGGGCAAGCCCTCCATCCTCCACATGGCCCTGCCCTTCAGGAAGTCTGAAAACACCCCCCATCCACCATGAGGCAAAAACACCTGTCCCGGGGAACCTGAACACAACCAGCCGGCACCCCGGCAGACCGGGGGCCTCCTGAGGGGTGCCTGGCCGAGGCTTGTGTCCCCTGCCCCTGGGCCGTCTGCACCCCGGCCTCCTGAGGGGTTGTCTGCACCCCAGCCTCCTGAGGGGTCGTCTGCACCCCGGCCTCCTGAGGGGCCGTCTGCACCCCGGCCTCCTGCGGGGCCGTCTGCACCCCGGCCTCCTGAGGGGTGCCTGGCGGAGGGTTGTGTTCAGGTTCCCGGGACAGAGTGTTTTGCCTCATGAGTGGATGGGGGTGTTTTCAGACTTCCCTGAAGGGCAGGGCCCAGTGAGGAGTGGGAGCTTGCCCAGGGGTCACGGTGGAGCCCAGGGCCAGGAGATCCTCCTTGATCTGGGTGTAGCCGCTCCTGCCTGGAGAAAAGGGTGTACCAGGAGCCATGGTGCCCAGACAGGGAGGAGGCTCCATCCTGGCTTTCTGAGGGCTCGAGGCTAGGAGGGAGGCCAGCCTGCCCCGTCTTGCCATGTCCCCTGCCCAGCGGCACGCCAGCCGCGAGGCCAGGGTACGCAGAGAACCCCGTGGGGCAGGTTGGCCTGCAGTGGAGATGATGGCCGCCCGGGGCGGACTTGGAGGAACTCGTAGGGGCCTGGGTAAAAGGTGTTTCCATCTGTCCCAGAGCCAGGGGCCGGGGCGCAGAACCCAGGGGGGTGTTGCCGGCCCGAGCCCAGGCTCCCGAGACAGATTAGCCGTCCCAGACTCCGGAGCGAGGGGAGCCCCATTCTCCGCCCGGCTCCACTGTAGCCATAGCAACCCAGTCGGTTTGGGAAAAAGGCCCGTTCTGTGGGAGCGAGGGCGTGCGGTGCCGGCGGAGGGCTTTGATCAGGGAGTGGGCGGCGGGAGGCAGGGAGAGCCTGGGGTTGGCTGAGCCCAGGCTGAGTGTGCCCCGGGGAACCCAGCTGGGAGCTCACTGCTGGGGTCTGGCCGGGGGTCCCTGAAGGCCCATAATGCTGTTGCACGTGACTCCCTCCCCTCCCCGGCCCCAGGCTTCACTGGGCACCTCTGCCAGTATGACGTGGATGAGTGTGCCAGCACCCCCTGCAAGAATGGTGCCAAGTGCCTGGATGGACCCAACACTTACACCTGCGTGTGCACAGAAGGTGCGGGCCGGCGCCCACCAGCGGGAAGGGACAGGGTACAGGGGAGAAGGCACTCAGGGCAGTGAAGGTGACAAGGTCTTAGACATCTTGGTCTGGGCCACCTGGTCCAGAGACCAAGAGCACAGCTCAGTCCCAATCCTGGGTGGGTGGGAACGCCCCTCGACAAAAGACACGCCCGGAGCCCTCCTCAGGTGGGCACGGGCGACCCCAGGTCTGGTCATGGGTGTCCTGGGAGCAGCCGGTCCTGATTCTTCCCGTGCCCGCCCCTCCCGCGGTCCAGGGTACACGGGGATGCACTGCGAGGTGGACATTGATGAGTGCGACCCCGACCCCTGCCACTACGGCTCCTGCAAGGACGGCGTCGCCACCTTCACCTGCCTCTGCCGCCCGGGTTACACGGGCCACCACTGCGAGACCAACATCAACGAGTGCTCCAGCCAGCCCTGCCGCCACGGGGGCACCTGCCAGGACCGCGACAACGCCTACCTCTGCTTCTGTCTGAAGGGGACCACAGGTGGCCGGCCAGGCGTGTGGCAGGCGGGTGGCCAGTGGGTAGGGTGGGTCCAGGAACTGACCGCCACGTGCCACCCCTTCAGGACCCAACTGCGAGATCAACCTGGACGACTGTGCCAGCAGCCCCTGCGACTCGGGCACCTGTCTGGACAAGATCGACGGCTACGAGTGTGCCTGTGAGCCGGGCTACACAGGTGAGTGGCCCTGCACATGGGGGCTGACTGGACTGCGCTCACAGGTCAAGGTCAGCCACTGCCCCGGGGCTGCTGAGGGGTTGGGTGGGGGCTTTGAGGCTGCCCACCTGGGCAGACTAGTTTGCAGCAGAGACTGCAGCAGGGCCAGGGCTACAGCCAGCAGCATGGTGGGCGCCCTCCACCCCCTACCCCTTGTCTCTGGTCAGAGCTGTCCCAGGCCGTGTTGGCACGGTGGCCCAGCAGGCCAAGAGGGAGCGGCCAGCCCTGAGGCCAGGCTTGAGTTCCTTCTTCCTCTGTGACTCACCAGCACCTTTGAGCAGGTCCCTCTGCCTCTCTGGGCCTCAGATTCCCATCAGTCAGGGCCATAGCAGCCCCTGCCGCTGGGCCCCCTGGGAGGATGACTTGAGTGGGCACTGGTGCCCGGGGAGGCTGGCACGTGGCACACTGTGACCTAAGACAGTTTCTGACATCTGGAAGGATGCGTCCAGAAGGGTGATCGCCCTGGCTCAACAGACAGGGAAACCGAGGTTGACGTGGGTGGGACCCCCGGGCTCTGGGCCTTGGAGTCTGACCCACCCCTGCCCGCAGGGAGCATGTGCAACATCAACATCGATGAGTGTGCGGGCAACCCCTGCCACAACGGGGGCACCTGCCAGGACGGCATCAATGGCTTCACCTGCCGCTGCCCCGAGGGCTACCACGACCCCATCTGCCTGTCTGAGGTCAATGAGTGCAACAGCAACCCCTGTGTTCACGGGGCCTGCCGGGACAGCCTCAACGGGTATGCGGCGGGGCCGATCGTGGGGACATATCAGTCCTAAACCCTGGGAGCTCTGCTGCCAGGAGGGTGGCACCTGCACAGAGCTTGAGATGGGCCAGAAACGAACCTCGGACGGGGCTGGGTGGCAGGGAGCTCCCCTCGGGGACGCATGTGCCTCTGGGTCCTCCGTGGGTCTGCAGTCCACACCCGGCAGCCCTGCACCCAGCAGCTCTGTGCCACGCGTCCTTGTGGGCTGCATGGTGGGCTCCGGACACGGGTCCACAGTGACCCCTGAAACACGTTTGCATGGTCGCAGCAGCGAGTGTTTCTGATGTCCATGATGGGCCTGGCAGCACTCTGCCTGGATGGGACCATTTAAATCAGCAGGGACCTCATTGCCCTCATTTGGCACAGAGGAGGCACTTGCTTTGTTCAGGGCCACACAGCGGGCAAGTGGCGGGGGTCTTTTCACAGCACCCCACTGCCCTACGCTTGGAATGGTCCCCTTGCTAACGAACCAAACCCTGTCGCAGTCTTGGTTATGGGAAGCACTGTAGCCCCCACATTCTTTCTTCATTTTGAGACAGAGCCTCACTCTGTTGTCCAGGCTGGAGTCCAGTGGCATGATCTCAGCTCACTGCAGCCTCCACCCTCCAGGTTCAAGTGATTCCCCTGCCTCAGCCTCCTGAGTAGCTGAGATTATGGGCGTGCGCCACCACACCTGGTTAATTTTTGTATTCTTAGTATAGACAGGGTGGGGGGGTTTCGCCACGTTGGCCAGGCTGGTCTCGAACTCCTGGCCTCAAGTGACTCACCCACCCCTGCCTCCCAAAGTGCTGGGATTACAGGTGTGAGCCACTGTGCCCAACCTGCCCCCACTAAAGGACTCTGCGAGTGTGAGTAGATGGGCACCTCGGCCAGCCCATGGGGCACTGCAGACCCAGGAGTGTCCAGGCCCTGGCCGTGCTGCTTGGGCCTCCCTTGACTGCAGTGTGGTCCCCCTTGCAGGTACAAGTGCGACTGTGACCCTGGGTGGAGCGGGACCAACTGTGACATCAACAATAATGAGTGTGAATCCAACCCTTGTGTCAACGGTGGCACCTGCAAAGACATGACCAGTGGCTACGTGTGCACCTGCCGGGAGGGCTTCAGCGGTGAGTGGGCTGTGCATTTCTCAGTGCAGGGGGCTGCCCTCGAGTCTGGGGAGCTGGAGACACAGGATGGGACCCAGGTCCAGCCAGCACCATGCATGGTGTCTCCCTCCCGTGGCAAAGCCTTAGCTCCAGGCCTCTGGCTCTCCGAGATGAGGAGGGGCCTGGTGGGGGGAGCAGGCCCAGGGCTGCTGTTGTGGGGCCCTCCCAAGGTGCCTGGGGGTGCTGGACATGCTGAGTGCTGTCCCCTTCCCACCAGGTCCCAACTGCCAGACCAACATCAACGAGTGTGCATCCAACCCGTGTCTGAACCAGGGCACGTGTATTGACGACGTTGCGGGGTACAAGTGCAACTGCCTGCTGCCCTACACAGGTGAGGGGTGGGTGGGGCCTGTGCTGGAGAGGGCGGGGTCTGTGCTGAAGGGGGCAGGGCCTATGCTGGAGAGGGCGGGGCCTGTGCTGGAGAGGGTGGGGCCAGGTGTGGGGGCGGCCTGGGAAGCCGCGACTGGCGGGTAAAGTGGTGGCTTTCTTGGGGCTGGACCTGGGCCCTTGGGCTCTGTGCTCCCAGCGCCCACCCTGCTGGGGGCCTCTGGGGGCCGGGCTTCCCCACCCCCGCCAGCCGGGCCTGAGGGATTCCTTTGACGGCGGGCCCTCTTTGTGTGAGGGGAACAAGGAACCCTCTGTTTCGGCTGAGCAGGGAGGGGTAAGTTCCCCCAACTGTCCAGCCCCTGCCGTGAACCCAGCCAAGGGGATCGCAGGAAATGATCTCCTCTAGAAAAGACAAAGAAGAGTCCACAAGCACCGGGGTCCTGGTGCTCCCCAGGAGCAGGCAGAGGGTGCTGCCTCGGGGCCTGGTCAGGGTGGGCCTGGCCAGGCTGGAGGTTCCACGTCTGTGGTTCCCATGACATCCAGCAGCCTGTGGCCAAAACGCTGTTTTCTTTGACCAAAGTTAAGGACCTGGGTTTTCTCTCCCGTGTCAGTCAGTGAGGACCCTCCCTCCACCGCCGGGCGCCCCTGTCCCTTTTGGACACGTCGATCGGGCCGGTGGTAGGAGCGGCGGTGCTGACCCGCTTCCTATCTGCCCGCTTCCTGCTTCCTTTTGCACAATTGTCGGAAACTCTGGCGCAGTTCCTGCCTGCCCAGGTCACCGTGGAAACCAATAGGAAGAGAGGCCCTGGAAAGTCGCCCCAGCAGGCCAGGGAGATAATGGGGGACAGGGAAGATAACGCAGTCCCCACGGTTATAAACAGGAAGCTCAGCCATGGGGTTGTGCAGAAAAGGCCCTCGGCTGTGCACGTGGTTCCCACACAGCCTTTGCCAGACACCCTGCATGGTCCTAGAGGTCCCCAGGCTGTGCCTGATGCCCCCGACACACAGGATGTGCTGAGGGCCTGGGCCTGTCCTCTCCATCGCAGCCCTTGTTCGTTGGCCTCCCGTGATGGGCGTTTGCTGCTTGTGACACGAAGTCCCAGGATTAGTTTCAGGCCTCGGTCTCAGGCCAGGGCCTTTCGTCATCACCCGGAGATGAGGGGGCTGGCGTCAGGGGTGGGCCCAGGTGCTTGGAGTGTCGTGGAGCCCACCCGGCTGAGGCCGCCTCCGCTGGTGCAGTCCTTGTTTCTGCGCACTCCTGGCGGGGTGAGGCCTAGGCTGTGCCCCGCTGCCAACCGGGAATGAGGGGTGGCTTCTGAGCACGTTTGTGCAGCTTGTCTTCAGCGTCCCCCAGTCTGTGCTCCACTCCACCCCTGGGTCAGGGTCCTGACATAGCCAGGAGCACTCACGGGTCTCCGTGCACATTTGCCTCCCGGCGGGACCAGCAGATGGCGCTCTGATGGCAGAAAGACCAGCAGGTGGTGGCCGGGCGGCCTTCATTCGGGAGATCCCTCCGGGTGAGGCCCCTGGGGTCACGTGTGTCTCCTTCCCGCAGGCGCCACGTGTGAGGTGGTGCTGGCCCCGTGTGCCCCCAGCCCCTGCAGAAACGGTGGGGAGTGCAGGGAATCCGAGGACTATGAGAGCTTCTCCTGCGTCTGCCCCACGGGCTGGCAAGGTGAGGCTGGCCCAGGGCCAGCGGGAGCTGGGACGGGAGGTCAGGACGTCTTCGGGACACAGGCAGCTCCCAGGCAGGCTAGATGAGCCTTCGGAGAGGAGCCGGTGGGTGCTGAGGCGGCCCTGGTCAGAGAAGCTCTGGAATCAGGAATTGACCTGGGAGCACCCTTCCCAACTCCAGTTCCTGTGACCTTCTTAGGCCAAAATTAGGGGAGACAGGATGGTCCTGGGGCCACGGAAGCCCACTCCTGGGGGTCGGGAGAGGCACTGTAGGTGGGTGGGCCAGCCTGGGAAGGGCCTGGAGGGCCAGGGGCCACTGGTGACCAACTGGCCTCCTCCTGCCCCGCAGGGCAGACCTGTGAGGTCGACATCAATGAGTGTGTTGTGAGCCCGTGCCGGCATGGCGCGTCCTGCCAAAACACCCACGGCGGCTACCGCTGCCACTGCCAGGCCGGCTACAGCGGGCGCAACTGCGAGACTGACATCGACGACTGCCGGCCCAGTGAGTGGCCCCGCGGCTCTGGCCGCCTCCAGGAAGCTCTCAGGCCTCAGTTTCCCTGGGCAGGGTTGGTGCGCATGGTGCTGGCCATAAGCGCCCAGGGGAGGCCTGAGTGTGGCTGGGAGGGTTGGGTCGGGTGTGAGGGATGTGCTGAGGGATGGCCAGGGTGGTTCAGGAGGGCCCCAGGGCCGGCTTGTCCCTCCCTGCACTTTGCAGGAGAGTCATGATAGGCCCTCCCGCGGCTCTTTGCTGAGCTGAGGATGGCTTGGGCCCGGCCTGCACTCCCGCCGGGCTTGTCAGGCCCCACTGCAGGCCAGTGCGCTCAGGCCTCCCCGGCCCTGCTTCACAGAGGTTGAGGTTGGCAGAAGCCGGGGGTCTTGCTGGCATCACCTGGCAGGCAGAGGCAAGAACTGTCACTCCTCCCCTGCTTGGTCTGTGAAACCTGCAAAGCTGTCCCCTGCCCTGGGACTTGAGGACAGGAGCAGGTGGGGAGAGAGAGACCCCAAGCACAGGAGATGGATGTGATGCAGCCTGTGGGTGCTGGGGCTCCCCACTGGACACCTTTGTCCCAGGGCGGCTCGCTGCAGCCCTGGCAATGAAAGGCTGGGCTGTCCGCAGCCTTCCCAGCCCCCTCCCACAAGTGTGGGTTTGTGTCTGCCCTTCACACACCCTTCCATCCCCTCCCAGACCCGTGTCACAACGGCGGCTCCTGCACAGACGGCGTCAACACGGCCTTCTGCGACTGCCTGCCCGGCTTCCAGGGCACTTTCTGTGAGGAGGACATCAATGAGTGTGCCAGTGACCCCTGCCGCAACGGGGCCAACTGCACGGACTGCGTGGACAGCTACACGTGCACCTGTCCCGCAGGCTTCAGCGGGATCCACTGTGAGAACAACACGCCCGACTGCACAGAGAGGTGCGCGGGGCTCGAGTGAGGCCATGGGGGGAAACGGGCAGTGTGGGCCACACGCAGTAGCTGGCAGCCTGACACACCACGCAAGCGTCTGCCCAGGCCTGCTGGGCACTTAGCACTGGTTGCAGCCGGGCACACCACGCAGGCGTCCACCTAGGCCTGCTGGGCACTTAGTGCTGGCTGCATTGAGTCCAGACATTGTTCACTGTACCAACGTGTCCCTCCTGAGAGCGCCACTGTACTCATCCTCCTGTGTCCTGCACCCAGGACACCAGTAGACCTGTTCTGAACTGGTGCTGCTCCTTCTATTAGACCAACAGAAACTCTGGTACTTCTTGTTTCCATTTTTTGCCTAGATTGCCAGGAAGCTCATTTGGTAAAACGTCAGTCCTCATCCCGCACATTTTGCCCGTCTATTTACGCCGTGTTTACAGACCAGGTTCGGTCTTTTTTGTCATCATTCTTAGACCTTTCTACACCACCTATGCCTGTGCTTTGGTAACCAGCCACTCTCGACCTGACTTAATAAAGAAGCAGGACAAATGGAGTGTGACATGGCGTGAGAGCCCGGCGCCGGGCACCTCACGGTCTGGAGTCAGCAGGCTGTGGGCCTGTTTTAGGGGCACTCAGGCTTTTTAACACAGGGCCAGAGCTCGACAACAGGGAGGTGCTGGCGAGGTAAAGTTCCTGCTGGAGGCGGGGACCACCAAATGCCTCCTCTCAGCCTGCCTGTCCCACCTTCGCGCCGGCACGCTGCAGCTCTCTGCTTCATGTGGCACCTGCTGGCACGATCAACTCGTTTCCCCTGCCTGTGTCCACCACGGCTTCAACGGCAGCTAATTGAGCACGATTCCAACGAGTGCGCTCACAGCCGCGCTGCACGGGCCGCACCTGTCCAGGCGACGCTAGCGGCATCACAACCTGCCCCAGTGGCTACACGCCCCAACTCCAGTAGTGCGCCAGCCACAGAGGGCCGAGGAGGGGGCTCTGGTGGGTGCCTGCCCTGCAGGGGCGAATGTCTACCAGTCCACGTGTCGGCCAGCTCACCTAAACACTCCTGGCATAAAAGGACTTCAGGTCTGACGGCCAGGTGTATAGGAATCTGATGCCGGAGCAGCAGACATCTTCATTCAGTCCTGGTTTCTGGAGCCAGGGCAGGAGCTCCAGGGATTGGGATTGAGAAAGACGTTCCTTCACTACGCAATAGGCGAGGTGTCTGGACCTGCTGCGCGAGCGGCGGCCCTGAGAGCAACCCAGCCCAGGCCTGTTTTTCCATGTGGGGGCGGTGGGAGTCCAAGGACGTCGGCAGTTTCCACTTCGTAGAATCGGGTTGGAGGCCCGGCGTTGGACGTACGGCCCTTGGGTGATGTGCGGTTCTGAGCTACTGGGGAAATGCCGGGGTGGGCACACGGCTGACCCCAGCCCTGTCCTCCAGAACCTCGTGCACTGGTGTGACTCCTCGCCCTGCAAGAATGGTGGCAAATGCTGGCAGACCCACACCCAGTACCGCTGCGAGTGCCCCAGTGGCTGGACCGGCCTTTACTGTGATGTGCCCAGCGTGTCCTGTGAGGTGGCTGCGCAGCGACAAGGTAACCCGCTGTGCCCACCCGGCTCGGGTCCCAGCCCGCCAAGGTCCTCCGTGGGCCTGGGCCTCACCTGTCCCCCACCCCAACCCCCACAGGCGTTGATGTTGCCCAGCTGTGCCAGCATGGAGGGCTCTGCGTGGATGCGGGCAACACGCACCACTGCCGTTGCCAGGCAGGCTACACGGGCAGCTACTGTGAGGACCTGGTGGACGAGTGCTCACCCAGCCCCTGCCAGAACGGGGCCACCTGCACAGACTACCTGGGCGGCTACTCCTGCAAGGTGGGGGCCCATCCTAGGGTGAGGGTTGTGGCCGACACGAGTGTTGCCACACACTGGGCCCTGACTGGGAGCTGGCACAGTGGAGAAAACTGAACCTGATAGGCCCATGCACCGTTCAGTCTCATTAGGGGAGGGCTGGGGTAATCAGGGTAGACCACCTGGAAGAGGCGGCCTGTGGAGAGCCCGAAGGAGGGTGAATATTGCTGAGAAGTGGGATGGGGTTTTCCCTTCCTCTAGATTGTGTCTGGGCTTGGCCAACACCTACCCTGAGACCCTCACCTCTATCCTACGGGACGGAGTCCACCCACCCCCAACAGGCAGTGACTCCGGTCACCGAGGCCCCGCCAGGGTCTGTTGGGCTGGGTCTCCCTCCAGGTCTGACAGGAGCGAGGGGCCTGTGGCTTCGCTGGACCTGAGGGCAGCTCACATGGCCCTGTCAGCCCTCACGGTGGGGTGGGGGAACGCTGCATCCTGGCACCAACTGAGCCGCACGGCCCCTCGTTCTGTTGCCTGCACAGTGCGTGGCCGGCTACCACGGGGTGAACTGCTCTGAGGAGATTGATGAGTGCCTGTCCCACCCCTGCCAGAACGGGGGCACCTGCCTTGACCTCCCCAACACCTACAAGTGCTCCTGCCCACGGGGCACACAGGGTAAGGGCCACCGCACGGAGGGCTGGTATCGGGCATCCATGGCCAGGGCAGGGGTAGGGCAGGCACCCCGTGATCGGCCCGAGGCATCCAGGAACCAGCCAGAAACTCCCAGTTTCCCACATGAGGCCAAGGCCAACGCAGAGCTGCCCGGGGAAAGGGCCCAGAGTGGGGGGCCCAGCGGGAAGGGCGTCTCCACGGCACCCTCTGCACCTGGCTCACCCGAGCGTCCGTGCAGCCCCAGACCTGAGCGCTTGTTGTCTGGGACGGACACGCGGCACGGCAGGGCTGGCACAGCAGTGAGTTCGGGCCGCTGATGGCACCTGGCCCCACAGGTGTGCACTGTGAGATCAACGTGGACGACTGCAACCCCCCTGTTGACCCCGTGTCCCGGAGCCCCAAGTGCTTCAACAACGGCACCTGCGTGGACCAGGTGGGCGGCTACAGCTGTACCTGCCCGCCGGGCTTCGTGGGTGAGCGCTGCGAGGGGGATGTCAACGAGTGCCTCTCCAATCCCTGCGACGCCCGTGGCACCCAGAACTGCGTGCAGCGCGTCAACGACTTCCACTGCGAGTGCCGTGCCGGTCACACCGGTGGGTGCCGTGCCCGGGCGGGTGGGGCATGCAGGGCAGCAGGGTGAGCCTCTCACTGCCCTGCTCTCACCCCCAGGGCGCCGCTGCGAGTCAGTCATCAACGGCTGTAAGGGCAAGCCCTGTAAGAATGGGGGCACCTGTGCCGTGGCCTCCAACACCGCCCGTGGGTTCATCTGCAAGTGCCCTGCGGTAGGTGCAGGGGTGCAGGGAGGTGGGGGCCCTCCAGGGGAGACACCTGGGAAGGTCCACCTGAGGGCCTTGGGGCACAGACTGGGCAGCGATCCTCGCAGCCTTCATCCTCCTCATCACCCTGACATCATTTTTTTTTAGTTTCAATAAATGATTTTAGAGACATTTTAGATTTATAGAAAAATGGAGTGGAAAGTAGATGCCCTGGGGTGGCTCTCCCCTGCGCGCAGTTCTCCTGATTAGCAGCTTGCTAATTTCACTCCAGATTTCACTGATACATTGTTACCAACACCAGCCCTTCCTGTACCTGGGGCTTGCCCTTGGCTTTGTGGTTGTAGGTTTGGGCTGAGGTATGACACACCTGCCCACCCTCGCAGGATTATGGCAGAGAGTCCCTGCCCTAAAGTCCTCAGCGCTCCACCAGTGTACCCCTTCTTCCATCTCCCGACCCCCTGGCACCCCCTAATTTTTCTCTGTCGATACAATGTTTGTAAAGGGTTTTGCTGCTGGGGACAAGGCTGTAGGCTGCCTCCCAGGTTAGGGGAGAGCGGTGGAACTGCTGGCCGGGGGCTGGGCGCGAGGTGGCAGACGGTGGGGGACGGCCCACCCTGACACTGTCTTGCCTTCCCTCCCGGGCAGGGCTTCGAGGGCGCCACGTGTGAGAATGACGCTCGCACCTGCGGCAGCCTGCGCTGCCTCAACGGTGGCACGTGCATCTCTGGCCCGCGCAGCCCCACCTGCCTGTGCCTGGGCCCCTTCACGGGCCCTGAGTGCCAGTTCCCGGCCAGCAGCCCCTGCCTGGGCGGCAACCCCTGCTACAACCAGGGGACCTGTGAGCCCACGTCGGAGAGCCCCTTCTACCGTTGCCTGTGCCCCGCCAAATTCAACGGGCTCTTGTGCCACATCCTGGACTACAGCTTCGGGGGCGGGGCCGGGCGCGACATCCCCCCGCCGCAGATCGAGGAGGCGTGCGAGCTGCCCGAGTGCCAGGAGGACGCGGGCAACAAGGTCTGCAGCCTGCAGTGCAACAACCACGCGTGCGGCTGGGACGGCGGCGACTGCTCCCTCAACTTCAATGACCCCTGGAAGAACTGCACGCAGTCTCTGCAGTGCTGGAAGTACTTCAGCGACGGCCACTGTGACAGCCAGTGCAACTCGGCCGGCTGCCTCTTCGACGGCTTCGATTGCCAGCGCGCCGAAGGCCAGTGCAAGTAAGGCTGCGGGGCGCATGGGGCTGAGGGAGGACCTGAACTTGGATATGGCCTGGATTGGACCCAGAGGCCAGCACGCAGTTCCTAAGACTCTGCTCAGGGGGTGCAGGGACGTCCCCCGCGGCCGGCCAGCGGGTGCGAGGCCCGCGAGGAAGGTGGCCTGAGCGTGTCCCACTCCCCACAGCCCCCTGTACGACCAGTACTGCAAGGACCACTTCAGCGACGGGCACTGCGACCAGGGCTGCAACAGCGCGGAGTGCGAGTGGGACGGGCTGGACTGCGCGGAGCATGTGCCGGAGAGGCTGGCGGCGGGCACGCTGGTGGTGGTGGTGCTGATGCCCCCGGAGCAGCTGCGCAACAGCTCCTTCCACTTCCTGCGGGAGCTCAGCCGGGTGCTGCACACCAACGTGGTCTTCAAGCGCGACGCGCACGGCCAGCAGATGATCTTCCCGTACTACGGCCGCGAGGAGGAGCTGCGCAAGCACCCCATCAAGCGTGCCGCCGAGGGCTGGGCCGCCCCCGAGGCCTTGCTGGGCCAGGTGAAGGCCTCGCTGCTCCCTGGTGGCGGCCGCGGTGGGCGGCGGCGGAGGGAGCTGGACCCCATGGACGTCCGCGGGTGAGTGAGACCCGGTGCCCGCGCTCAATCTCGGCACCTCTCCTAGGCCCTTCTCCACGGCCTCCCTGCCCCTCACAGCCGGCGCCGCGGCAAGCAGTACTCTCCCCACTTTAGGGTAAAAGAGACGGAGGTTCCGAGAGGACCTGGGACCTCAGGGACCGCACAGGCAAGGAGCAGAGGCAGCATTCCAGCTCAGGGCCCTGACCCCAGAGCCACACCCTTCCCCTGGGCAGGCGGCGCTCCTGTGCCCAGTAGGTGATTTTGAGATTGAGCTGTGCCCTAGGCACTGGGTATGGCCCTGATTAAAACTCAGCCCTCTGCCAGCTGAGGAGGATCACGCCTGTAATCCCAGCACCTTGGGGTGCTGAGGCAGGAGGAGCCCTTGAGCCTGAGTTCGAGACCAGCCTGGGCAACATAGGGAGACCTTGTCTCTGTTTTTTTTTTTTTTTTTTAAATGTATTGGCCGGGCGCGGTGGCTCACGCCTGTAATCCCAGCACTTTGGGAGGCCAAGGTGGGCAGATCATGAGGTCAGGAGATCAAGACCATCTTGGCTAACACAGTGAAACCCCGTCTCTACTAAAAATAAAAAAATTAGCTGGGCGTGGTGGCAGGCAACTGTAGTACCAGCTACTCGGGAGGCTGAGGCAGGAGAATGGCGGGAACCCGGGAGGCGGAGCTTGCAGTGAGTCGAGATAGCACCACTGCACTCCAAGCCTGGGCGACAGAGCAAGACTCCGTCTCAAAAAAAAAAAAATGTATTAAAAGAAATAAAAAACAAAAAACTCAGCTCTCCAGGCGCTCCCACAGGGCTGAACAGACCCACCCCCAGACAAGAATGCCATTTGGTCATGGCATCTGCCTGGCTTAGGCTGGAGAGGAGGCAGGTGGAGGTCCTGGGAGGGGGCATTGCTGGGCCTTGCAGATGGAGGAGGAGCTGGTGGGGGGAGGGGTGGTCCATGGTGGGAGAACACAGGCAGGGGCAGCCTGAGTACAGGGGGCACCCCACGAGGCTCCTGCCCATGCCTACTCGATCTGGGGCAGCTGGACCCAGGAGCCAGATTGCTTGTGCCCTTGGTGTGCCTGACCCTGGTGGGTTTGCCCGTCAGTTCTGCTGGCTTGGAACAGCCCCGGAAGTCAGAAGCATCATCTTACAGGCTGGTTGGGATCCTGATCATGGGAACCCAGCCCTGGGGAGCAGGAGTCCCAGCAGGGAGCAGAGCTCACCCCCAGCCAGCATCACCACACAGCCCACCCCCACCGCACAACTGCGCCCACCCCCACCGCACACCTGCGCTTCCCACGGGACCTGGGGATGACTCCTAGGGCAGAACTGGGCTCCTGGCACGTTCTCTGTCCCGATATGAGGAAATGTGTTTGTGGCACCAGCAGCAGCCAGAGAGGGTGGCAGGACAGGCCAGGGAGAGTGCATTGGCAGTTATCTGGGATGAGCCGTGATCAGTACTGGCCGGAGTCTGGGGGCTGCAGGGCACCAGTCCCCTGCAGGGTAGCTGCTGTCAGATCAGACCTGGCTTCCCGCCGCCCCAGGCTGCCTCGCCACGTCCTGACTGTGGCGTCATGAGCCGCGGTATCCCTGGGGCAGCGTCCCCGGCTGGTGGGTGGAGGAGGAGGAAGCCTCGGGCCCCAGCGCCTGTCTGGTTATCCCCCCAGCTCCATCGTCTACCTGGAGATTGACAACCGGCAGTGTGTGCAGGCCTCCTCGCAGTGCTTCCAGAGCGCCACCGACGTGGCCGCCTTCCTGGGGGCGCTCGCCTCGCTGGGCAGCCTCAACATCCCCTACAAGATCGAGGCCGTGCAGAGTGAGTGTGGCTCCTTCTCTGTTCCCCAGCCCAGCATCGCCGGGAACAGGCTCTACCTCCAGGAGATGCCATCCCCTTGTGCCCCAGACACGCTGGTTGGTTGTGCCAGTTGCCACCCATGGGTGTGCGCGTCACCATCCGAGTTGGGGTGGGGCTTTTCTGGAATTTTCTGAATGGCACTCCCTCCCCACCTGTGGCGGTGACAGCTGCTGGTGCAGCCACCGGGGAACGAGTCCAGTCACGGGAAAATGGGTGCCTGCTTCTCTCCCCACCCCTTCCCCCTGAATTTTCTTTGTTGGGTATTATTTCAAAATCATTACGGCTTTTTTTAAAGAAAAAAAAGAGAGAGAGAGAAGAATTGATCGGTGTCATGTGAAGTGTTGAAGTTTGTATCTTGAAAATCCCTCTAAATCCTTTGTCTTAACAGCTCAATGCAAGTGCAGCGATTTGAAGTTGACTAATCCTCCTCCCTTAAAGGAGAAAAAAGTAAAAGCCGTCTCCAGATAGAGTCGGCTGGTGCAGGAGAGAATTTAGCGATAGTTTGCAATTCTGATTAATCGCGTAGAAAATGACCTTATTTTGGGGGGCGGGATGGAGGAGAGTGGGTGAGGAGGCGCCTGGCCGCGGAGCCAGTCCGCTGCCCCCCGGCCACCAGCCTGCTGCGTAGCCGCCGCCTGATGTCCCAGCGCCTGCCCCTGGCCCCTGTGCCCGCAGGTGAGACCGTGGAGCCGCCCCCGCCGGCGCAGCTGCACTTCATGTACGTGGCGGCGGCCGCCTTTGTGCTCCTGTTCTTCGTGGGCTGCGGGGTGCTGCTGTCCCGCAAGCGCCGGCGGCAGCATGGCCAACTCTGGTTCCCTGAGGGCTTCAAGGTGTCTGAGGCCAGCAAGAAGAAGCGGCGGGAGCCCCTCGGCGAGGACTCTGTGGGCCTCAAGTGAGCGGACACTGCCCCTGCTTCTGGGGCCCCGGGGGGAGGTGGGACCTGGCCGAGCATCCTCACGGGGGTCTGCCCCTCCCGATGCAGGGCCCACTTCCCACGCCAGGCCTGGGCTAGGGGCCTCTGGGGGCTTCCTAGGGAGCTTGCTCAGCCTCACTTCTCGAACCCTCACCCCCAGGCCCCTGAAGAATGCCTCAGATGGTGCCCTCATGGACGACAACCAGAATGAGTGGGGGGATGAGGACCTGGAGACCAAGAAGTTCCGGGTGAGTCGCAAGGCTCCCGGGCTCCCGGGCTCCTGGGCACCTGCCACCGGGCTGCCCTGACACACCTCTGCTCACTCCTCCTACGTAGTTCGAGGAGCCCGTGGTTCTGCCTGACCTGGACGACCAGACAGACCACCGGCAGTGGACTCAGCAGCACCTGGATGCCGCTGACCTGCGCATGTCTGCCATGGCCCCCACGCCGCCCCAGGGTGAGGTTGACGCCGACTGCATGGACGTCAATGTCCGCGGGCCTGGTAAGGGTGCCAGCAGCCAGGGCTTCCCTAGCTCCGTGACCCACCTGCCTCTCTCCCCTAAGCCCCGAGGCTGGGGTACGGTTGATACTCTGGAAACTTAGAGTTGGGGGTGAGAGGTTTCATCCTTGGGGTATTTCCCGTTCAGAGTGGATGGGGGGTCCTGGAGTCCTCCTGTTCTTCCATCAACCCTCTCCTGGGGCGATGCCGCATGGTCACTATGTCCCTGTAAATTACTCTCTTCTGAAACCTCCTTCTTGAGATATGGAAAGCGTAGATTTTCTTTTTTTTATTTTCTTTTTTTGAGACAGAGTCTTGCTCTGTCACCCAGGTTAGAGTGCAGCGGCACAATCTCAGCTCCCCGCAGCCTCCACCTCTTGGGTTCAAGCAATTCTCCTGCCTCAGCCTCCCAAGTAGCTGGGATTACAGGCACCCACCACCACGCCCAGCTACTTTTTGTATTTTTAGTAGAGACGGGGTTTCACCACGTTGGCCAGGCTGGTCTCGAACTCTTGATCTCAGGGGATCCGCCTGCCTCAGCCTCCCACAGTGCTGCAGCTATAGTGTGAGCCACTGCGCCCATGAGCCACCGCACCCAGCCAAAGCGTTGATTTTCTAACTGCATGTTTCTGGCGTCATCTTTTTCCTGGGTGGATTTTGGGTGCCCGGTCTTGGGCAGGTCAGGAAGCAGTTGCCCGTCAGGAGTTGACTGCTGGACCCAGCTCTGTCCACTGAGCAGCCCAGGCGGACTTCAGCTGCCCCTTGGTGGCTGTGTGGTGCATCTACACTGTGGCCCATTGAGCTCGGGGCTGCTGCCCCCCTCCCCCTGGGCTGCAGCTGGGGACCAGCCCTCCAGACTGAGCACCCGTCTCTGCCCCTGCAGACGGCTTCACCCCCCTCATGATCGCCTCCTGCAGTGGGGGCGGCCTGGAGACGGGCAACAGCGAGGAGGAGGAGGACGCGCCGGCCGTCATCTCCGACTTCATCTACCAGGGCGCCAGCCTGCACAACCAGACCGACCGCACGGGCGAGACCGCCTTGCACCTGGCTGCCCGCTACTCACGCTCTGATGCCGCCAAGCGCCTGCTGGAGGCCAGCGCAGACGCCAACATCCAGGACAACATGGGCCGCACCCCGCTGCACGCAGCTGTGTCTGCCGACGCACAAGGTGTCTTCCAGGTAGGCAAGCAGCTGCCTGTGTGCCCACCTGCCCTCCTCAGGGCACCGGGTGGTCCGGGACAGTGGCCAGGCTTACGTAGCCATGGGAGCCTGACCCCGAGCACAGCTGAGTCCGGGACAGCTGGTGCCTCCACCCAGGACCTTTGCAGTCAGCGAGGTGCGACGGGAGGGGGCGGGGTCAGGCGCATCTGTGTTCTCCAGGGGAGCCAGGCAGAGGCGGGTCTGGCAGGAGGCCTGGGGGACCTGCTGAGTGAGGCAGCGCCTGCCCACCCCCCGCAAGACAGGCTCCGTCAGGGTTGTGGGCCTTGCTCAAGGTCCAGGTCCCACCGCTGCAGCCCCTCGCGGCCCCACCCCTCCCCCAACCCTGGCTGCCGGCGTAGCCTGTGGCAGTGAGAAGAAGGGTTTAGAGGCTGCCGCTTGGTGCCTACAGACCTAGGGCTCAGCTTGTCGGTGAGCTCGTGGCAAGAAATGGATTTAGGGATTTGGATGCCTGGGTCTCCGGGGAATGTCCCTGGCAGGGGCTGCCTTTGCAGTCACCCCTGCTGTGAGTCCCCAGGCTCCAGGCGGCCCTAGAGCAGGTTCAGATGGGCACAGCCCAGGAGAGTTACCACAGAGCTTCTCGTTTCATGATTTCTTAGCTCAGGTGACACGTCATCATCCTGCAGAAATAAATGTAGGTGAGCGGAAGGAGCATCGAAGGGAGCCCCGTGTGGGTTTGCTGTGTGCCTCTCTCAGCCGCCTTCTTTGCACAGATGTGGAAGTTCCCAGGTGCTTTGCAGGAATCAGGCCAGTGCTGCATGGCACTCGGCCCCTGCCTTTTGCACCCGCCAGGGAGCAGGGGCCATCCCTCCTGCCAGAGGCCAAGGCCAGGCTGCATTACAAGGGCTGCCTACTACCGCTCTTGGGGCAGAGCTGGACACTGTAGCTCAGCAGTTCTGCGACGGCTGTAGGGCTGTGAGCCCGGCTTCCCGAGTGCCAGCTGTGACCCCCGTTGGGGGCAAGGGCTTGACCTCTCTGTTTTGTAGGTGGTCATGGCAGCTAGGACCACTGTGAGGATTAAATGAGGTCACACGTGGTCACGATGGACCCCACTGTCACCAAGGGGCCTATGTGTGGGCAGCACAGCCCCTACCCCCATCCCGGCCCCTCTTCGGGGCAGCCCCGTGGTATTTCATCTTGCCCGGCCGTGCAGATCTCAGGAGGGTCTCTGTGTCCGGAAGGCAGTGGGGCCTCCCGTCCAGGCATTCGTTCTGGGCAGGAGGCATCAGTGCACGTCTGCCCAGCACCCACCTGAGCCTCTCCCCGTTGCCCAGATCCTGATCCGGAACCGAGCCACGGACCTGGATGCCCGCATGCACGACGGCACGACGCCGCTGATCCTGGCTGCCCGCCTGGCTGTGGAGGGCATGCTGGAGGACCTCATCAACTCGCACGCCGACGTCAATGCTGTGGACGACCTGGGTGAGCCCACGGGGGCAGGGCTGCGCTGTCGTGGGGCGGGGCTGCCATAGGGACGGGTGGGGCCAGGCTGCCTCCAGCTGGTCTCCAGCCCCGTCTGCCTCTTTCACATAGGCAAGTCTGCCCTGCACTGGGCCGCCGCCGTGAACAACGTGGACGCCGCGGTCGTGCTCCTGAAGAACGGGGCCAATAAAGACATGCAGAACAACAAGGTGAGCGCGAGGCCGGGACGCGACGGGAGACGCGGGGCTGAATCCACAGAGAAGTGAGGGCCGAACCCGCGGGGCGCAGGGACGCAAGGGCCTTACCCACCGGGTCTCAAGGCCCGCATGCAGGCCCCACCCGCACGGTGCTGGGCACCTCGTTAGTGCTCCTCCTCTCCTTCAGCCTCGGTTTACGGAGCCTTCCCAAGCACAGGTCCAGCTGTCGGGACACGGCGGCTCACCCCACAGACCCGGCCCTGCCCTCCTGGGCAGCAGTCATGGTGGGGCCCACAGCCTGGCGTGGGGAATGCTGCTGCCGCCGCTGCTCTGTCACTATCACCTGGACCTCGCCTTCTGTCCCCAGCTGTCACCAGGTGGGGGTGGGGATGGGAATGTGGTGGCCCAGGTGGTGCAGATTGAGCCAGAACATGTATGGTGCAGGGCGTGGCCTCTTGGTGTGAATGCGAGCAGCTCTTTATCCAAGGGGAGCTGCCCCCAGCGCTCATCCTGGCGCTGCAGCTCCTGGGTGAGCTGCTGACCTCAACGCTGTCGGGTTCCCCTGAGTGCTCAGGGCACAGGTGCAGACACCCCCACCTCCCTGCCGCTTGAACCCCCACCCCCGCCCCCAACTCCTGCCGCCCCCTTGGCATGTCAGGCTAAGGCGTCCCTCCTGGGCGAGGGCACACAGCGGGCCTGGGCACCAGGGCATGTTGGCCCAGGCGCTCCCCAGTTTGTGGTGGCATGGCCCCACAGAGACTGGGCCCCAGAGGGCATCGAGGCTTGGGAAGCCCCTTCCCACTCCTACACAGCAGCCTCACCCAGACCTGCGATGTGTCCACCACACAGAGGAGACGCCGAGAAGGAGCTTGGTGGCCACCAGTGTGGCTTGGTGGCCGACTGTATGACGAGCTCCCTCTCTGGTGCCCTCACCGGTGCCTCTGAACCGCTCCAGTAATGTCCTTTTGTGCCTTGTTGGGGGCAGGGAAGAGGGCCTGCAGTTGGTTAGATTTTCAGTGGAGTCTGTGACCCCCGCGTAGAGGTGGAGCCCTGCCGATCTGGGATAGAGGACTGCACAGACCTCCCCTCTGGGTGGGTTTCAGAAGTCTTAACATTTAACAGGAATCAGGCTAGGTGGTTGCAGGATGCTGGGGCGGGGTCCTGAGGAGCAGCCTGCCTCCCCGCACCCCATGGAGGAGATCGTACTGCTGCTCCCTCTGGTGATGGAGCCTTGGGGAGGGTCCCCACGCCAGGCCTGGCCCCCCTCACCAGCCCCCACCCTCGTCCCCCAGGAGGAGACACCCCTGTTTCTGGCCGCCCGGGAGGGCAGCTATGAGACCGCCAAGGTGCTGCTGGACCACTTTGCCAACCGGGACATCACGGACCATATGGATCGCCTGCCGCGTGACATCGCACAGGAGCGCATGCACCACGACATCGTGAGGCTACTGGACGAGTACAACCTGGTGCGCAGCCCGCAGCTGCACGGAGCCCCACTAGGGGGCACGCCCACCCTGTCACCCCCGCTCTGCTCACCCAACGGCTACCTGGGCAGCCTCAAGCCCGGCGTGCAGGGTAAGAAGGTCCGCAAGCCCAGCAGCAAAGGCCTGGCCTGTGGGAGCAAGGAGGCCAAGGACCTCAAGGCGCGGAGGAAGAAGTCCCAGGACGGCAAGGGCTGCCTGCTGGACAGCTCCGGCATGCTCTCACCCGTGGACTCCCTGGAGTCGCCCCACGGCTACCTGTCGGACGTGGCCTCGCCGCCACTGCTGCCCTCTCCGTTCCAGCAGTCTCCGTCCGTGCCCCTCAACCACCTGCCCAGTATGCCCGACACCCACCTGGGCATCGGGCATCTGAACGTGGCGGCCAAGCCAGAGATGGCGGCACTGGGTGGGGGCGGCCGGCTGGCCTTTGAGGCCGGCCCCCCGCGTCTCTCCCACCTGCCCGTGGCCTCCGGCACCAGCACGGTCCTGGGCTGCAGCAGCGGAGGAGCCATGAATTTCACCGTGGGCGGGTCCACCAGTTTGAATGGTCAGTGCGAGTGGCTGTCCCGGCTGCAGAGCGGCATGGTGCCGAACCAATACAACCCTCTGCGGGGGAGCGTGGCACCAGGCCCCCTGAGCACGCAGGCCCCCTCCCTGCAGCATGGCATGGTGGGCCCGCTGCACAGTAGCCTTGCTGCCAGCGCCCTGTCCCAGATGATGAGCTACCAGGGCCTGCCCAGCACCCGGCTGGCCACCCAGCCTCACCTGGTGCAGACCCAGCAGGTGCAGCCGCAAAACTTACAGATGCAGCAGCAGAACCTGCAGCCACCAAACATCCAGCAGCAGCCAAACCTGCAGCCACCACCGCCACCGCCACAGCCGCACCTTGGCGTGAGCTCAGCAGCCAGCGGCCACCTGGGCCGGAGTTTCCTGGGCGGAGAGCCGAGCCAGGCAGACGTGCAGCCACTGGGCCCCAGCAGCCTGGCAGTGCACACCATTCTGCCCCAGGAGAGCCCCGCTCTGCCCACGTCGCTGCCGTCCTCGCTGGTCCCACCCGTGACCGCGGCCCAGTTCCTGACGCCCCCCTCACAGCACAGCTACTCCTCCTCGCCTGTGGACAACACCCCCAGCCACCAACTGCAGGTGCCTGAGCACCCCTTCCTGACCCCGTCCCCCGAGTCCCCTGACCAGTGGTCCAGCTCGTCCCCACATTCCAACGTCTCCGACTGGTCCGAGGGCGTCTCCAGCCCGCCCACCAGCATGCAGTCCCAGATCGCCCGCATTCCGGAGGCCTTCAAGTAAACAGCGCGCCCCACGGGACCCCGGCTTCCTTTCCCAAGCCCTGCGGGCGTCTGTACGCGATCTGTGGACGCCGGGGCCGACCAAAGGAGCCTTTTTTAAAAACGCATGTTTTTATACAAAATAAGAACAAGGATTTTAATTTTTTTTTAGTATTTATTTATGTACTTTTATTTTACACGAAACACTGCCTTTTTATTTATATGTACTGTTTCATCTGGCTCCAGGTAGAAACTTTTATCTGTTACAAGAAAACAAGCAAGTTCTGAGAACCAGGGTTTTCCTACCCAGGATGAAAAGATTCTTCTATGTTTATAAAATATAAACAAAGATTCATGATTTATAAATGCCATTTATTTATTGATTCCTTTTTTCAAAATCCAAAAAGAAGTGATGTTGGAGAAGGGAAGTTGAACGAGCATAGTCCAAAAAGCTCCTGGGGCGCCCAGGCCGCGCCCTTTCCTCGCCGCCCACCCAACCCCAAGCCAGCCCGGCCACTCCGCCAGCATCACCTGCGTGTTAGGAGAAGCTGCATCCAGAGGCAAACGGAGGCAAAGCCGGCACACCTTTGGCATGGATTAATTTGCATCTGAAATAGGAAACTGAAGTAAAAGGATATGGGTTAGATGTTGCGATGTGTTTTTAAATGGTTTTTTGCAAGCATGCTTGTGAAAATGTGTTCTTGGAGTGTGTATGCCAAGAGTGCACACATGGTACCAATCATGAATCTTTGTTTCAGGTTCAGTATTACGTAGTTGTTCGTTGGTTAAACAAGTTCTTGGTCCCTCCAGTACCACCCCGGCCCCCTGCCCATTCTTGAAATGTAGGCATCGTGCATGTCAGACATGAGATGTGTGGACTGTGGCACTCGCCTGGGTCACACACGGAGGCATCCTACCCGTTTCTGGGGAAAGACACTGCCTGGGCTGACCCTGGTGGCGGCCCCAGCATCTCAACCTGCACGGCGTCCCCCAGGCTCCGAGGAAGATGCGCCAGCAACACAGCCTGGGGCCCGGCTCGCGGGACCCGACTCCCCGTGGGCTCCCGTGTTTTGTAGGAGACTTGCCAGAGCCGGGCACATCGAGCTGTGGAACGCCGTGGGCTGCATCCTTTGGTCCTGTCCCCGCAGCCCTGGCAGGGGGCACGCGGTCGGGCAGGGGCTAGAGGGAGGCAGGGGCTGCCCTTGGGCCACCCCTCCTAGTTTGGGAGGAGCAGATTCTTGCGATACCAAGTATAGCCTATGGCAGAAAAAATGTCTGTAAATATGGTTTTAAAGGTGGATTTTGTTTAAAAAATCTCAATGAATGAGTCTGTTGTGTGTCATGCTGATGAGGGACGTCAGACTCAGCTCAACTCGGGGAGCCTCAGCCGCCCATCACTGGGGACACTCCGCGCCGTGCCACCTGCTGCCCGTGCGCTGGGGACGCCTCCGCCGCCGTGCCACCTGCATTCCTCAGGGCAGCCTCCCCCGGCTCAACGGGGGCCGCGTGGTGCCATCCCCGGGGGCATGACCAGATGCATCTCAAAATGTTGATTTTTACTGTGTTTTATAAAATAGAGTGTAGTTTACAGAAAAAGACAGCTTTTAAAAAAGTGATCTACATGCGGAACTGTAGATGATGTATTTTTTTCATCTTTTTTGTTAACTGATTTGCAATAAAAATGATACTGATGGCGATCCGGCTTCCACTCCCCTCTGCTCTGGCCTTCGACTCCCTTTCTGGGAGGGAGGGAGAGCTGCTACTCTCTGAGGGAGCCGGGAGTCGAGGGCCCCTTCTGCTGGGAGAGTGACAGTGAGGCTGCACCCACGGGGATGTAGGGACCATGCTGCCTCCAAGGGCTCCACGGTGTCTGCAGCCTGCCTGATCCAGGCCCTTTGTAGGGAGATGGACACACAGCAGCAAGGGGGTTGCAGCCCTATGAGAGGTGGGGCTCGTGCCTGCGGTGACACCCACGTGCCCCAGGACACCCACGAGTGAGCCTGGCCCTCCTGGCAGCTCGGGTCTCTTCTCTCAGCCTCAGAGGGATGAAGGTCCCACCCAGCCATCCTGGGGACAGCCCCTCAGGGAGCTCTGCAGCAGGCAGGGGACTGCGTAGGGAGGGCCTTGAGGCAGTGGCGTGACCCCTCTGTGGGCTGGAGACCACAGGGAGGACTCTGGCCCCTACAGGAGGGCAAAGGGAGCTGTTGAAGCCTCTGAGCAGGGCAGCATGGGGCATGGCAGAGTCTGGAAAGTTCTATGATCCTAAGGGACCGGCTGAGCTAGACAGAGGCGGCCTGGTCCTGGCGTGCTGCCCCTGAGTAGAGCTGCCAGCCCTGCACAACGGTGGGCCCCTTCTCTCCCCACTGCCTGGGCCTCTGCCCAGCCCCAGACCTTCAGGGCAGGCCAGTGACTTCAAACCAGAGCGGTGGGGAGTCTGAGGTCCCTCTTTGGATTGCAAAGTGCTGCCTGCCCTGGGCCCAACCTCTCCAACGAGGGATGTGAAACTGAGGCCTCCACTATGCCTAGGGGCTGTGTCTGCCAGCCAGTGCTGGGCACCAGGACCAGGAGGGGCCACCATGCAGTGAGTGCCCTGACTCTTGTCTTCAAAGTGGGTGGACCCAGCCGGAGTCCTGCCCATAAAACTCACAGCACCTTGAAATTCCACTCTTGGGGGTCTGCCCAAAAGAAGTGAAAACAGGGACTCAAACAAAAGCACGGGGCCACTCACTCTCCCGGCAGCACTCGGTACAGCCAGATGGCCTGAGTGTCCGCTGCCAACGACGGGTCAGCAAAATCGTCTGCTGTGACGGTGAACCTTAGTGTCAGCTCGGCCAGGCCGTTTCGCCAAACGGAGTGTGTCTCTGAGGTGTTCAGGATGAGGTTTGCATTTGCATCCACAGCCTGGGTAAGGTGGGCCTGCCCTCCCTGGTGTGGGTGGGCCCCGTGCGGTCCGCGGAGGCCTGGGGAGGACAATAGGCCGAGTGAGAGGGGTCCTCCCACCTGACCGCTTGCACTGGACATTGGTCTTTTCCTGCCTTCAGACTTGGACTGAAAACGTGGGCTCTTCCTGGGCCTGGAGCCTACCGGCCTTCAGACTCGCAACGCCGTCAGGCCTCCTGCCTGCATCTGCAGACCCTGGGACCTGCAGGCCTCAAGGTCGCGTGGCCAGTTCCCTGCAATAATCTCTCCGGAGGCACGTCTTACAGGCTCCGTTTCCCGGAAGAACCCTGACGAATGCGCACAAGGGAATATGGTTCCACCGTAGAAAAGGAGGCACTGACACCCACCGTGCAGACAAGCCGTGGAAGCGCCACGCTCAGTGAAAGGTGCCAGCCGCAGAGGGCCGCACGTGCAATGACTCCATTTCTATGGGGTACCCTTTTGTAGATTGATGGTTCCCAGAGCCCGGGGGAGGAGGAAATGGGAGTGGCTGCTAAATGGCCCAGGTTTTTACTTTGGAGTGATGCAAATGTTCTAGACCCAGGGAGAGGTGGTGCGTGTACAGCCCTTCGAATGCACTAAATGCCAATAACGCGGACACTTTTTTTATTTTTTTCGAGACGGAGTCTCGCTCTGTCACCCGGGCTGGAGTGTGGTGGCGTAATCTTGGCTCACTGCAACCTCCGCCTCTGTGTTCAAGTGATTCTCCTGCCTCAGCCTCCAAAGTAACTGGGATTACAGGCGCCCATCACCACACCTGGCTAATTTTTTTGTATTTTTAGTAGAGATTGGGTTTCACCATGTTGGCCAGGCTGGTTTCAAACTCCTGCTCTCAAGTGATCCACCCGCCTCAGCCTCTTAAAGTGCTAAGGTCACAGGCGTGAGCCACTGCACCTGGCCTAACGTGTATACTGTAAAGTGGTTAGTTTTAGGTTCTGTGAATCTCACCTCAATATGTTATTTTTTTTAATTAAAAAAATGTTTTTGAGACAGGGTCTTGCTCTGTCACCCAGGCTGGAGTGCAGTGGTGCAATCATAGCTCACTGCAGCCTCAACCTCCTGGGCTCAGGTGATCCTCCCACCTTGGCCTTTCTAGCAGCTGGGACTACAGGTGCACACCACCTCACCCACCTATTTTTTTTGTTGTTGTTATTTTTTGCAGAGACGGGGATCTCACTTTGTTGCCCAGGTTGGTCTCGAACTCCTGAGCTCACGCAGCCCTCTCCTCACCTTGGCCTCCCAAAGTGCTGGGACTACGGGTGTGGGCCACTGTACCTGGCCATATGTGTAACTTTAAATATTGCAGTAGCCACATTAAAAAGGTAAAAAGAAACAGGTAAAGTTTATGTTAACACTATAGCTTAATCCAATATATCAAAAATATTATTTCAACACAATCAATATAAAAAGTGAATGAGGTTTTGTTTTTTGTCTTTTGTTTTTTGAGATGGAGTCTCACTTTGTTGCTCAGGCTGGAGTGCGGTGGCGTAATCTCGGCTCACTGCAACGTCCGCCTCCCTGGGCAAGTGATTCTCCTGCCTCAGCCTCCCAAGTAGCTTGGATTATAGGCGCCCGCCACCATGCCCAGCTAATTTTTGTATTTTTAGTAAAGATGGGGTTTCACCATGTTGGCCAGGCTGGTCTTGATCTCTTGACCTCGTGGCCTGCCTGCCTCGGCCTCCCAAAGTGCTGGGATTACAGGCGTGAACCACCATGACCGCCCTGAAGTAAGATGTGTTTATATTCTTTTTTGTTTTGTTTTTGGTACTGTGTGCTTTGAAACCCAGGGTGGACAGTACACTCACAGCACCACTGGATTGGGCCTGCCACGCTTTAAAAATGTTCAATATTTCCAGGAGGCTCATGTGCAGATTCAGACTCTTCAGCAGGATGCCAAGGGGGCTCCAGACAGCTCCACCCAGTGCAGGAAAATCACCAAGTGTATCTTGCAGCCTGGCGACATCACTCCATGCCAACTGCCGGCAATGAACCGCCGAGTGTGGCGCCGTGGTCCCCTCTGGGCCAGAGCCAAGGAGGATCCCAAGAGCCTGAGGCACCGTCGCATCAGGGCCATAAATCGAAGGCCCAACCGGCAGCACGGGCTGGCCTCCATCAGAGAGGAAGCACGGTGCCATAGCCTGTCAGGAAGGGAAGCAGGGCGTGGGGAGGCCGTCCAGGAGGGAAGCACGGTGGCCTGAGCCCCGGCTGTGCCAGGGACGAACAAGGCCCGTACTGGCCTTCATCCACGAAAGTCTCACTGCGAAAAGGGTGTTTGAGTGGGCTCAACTAGCGTGCTCAAGTGGCGGAGCTGATTTCATTCTGCGTGGGCCCTTCTCTCATCGGGACTCAATCCACGGACACCACCTGACGCGACTCTGCTGGACGGGGCAGCGCGGGCAAAGGCAGGACAACAGGAGGAGCGCCACACGGC